TCCCAGCCCTTACATATATCTATATATATATATATATATATATTGCTCTTCTCTGTTCAAGAATTTGCTATGCCCTGTTGAATACCTATGTTGTCTTTGATTTGTGTATCTATTGAAGCTTACACAGCTACTGAACATTATTATCTATCAAATTTATCTGTTGATCAAAGTCCAACATATGCCCGATAAGAAAATATCAATTTTATTGGCATGCTAAACTTTTTTGGATGAAATCGAAAGCAAAGGCCACGAGAGTTTGTACTCAAAGTGGTAAGTGGATAAGACGACCACTTCCAACAAAACAGCTGCCATACAATTTTATCCAATTGTTTCCATATAGCTTGCGAATAAGTGGCATCATATCATCAAAGTGGCCCATCCAAATGGGTTTAACTTCATTGAAAGGCCTATCTGTTAAGGTTGTTGGTTGAAGACCACAGAACATGTTCTTAACAAAAAAAAGACAACTGTTCAAATTCTGGGGGTACTGTCGTAGTACTGTGATTAGTTTTGTTTGTTTGTTTCTTTTTACCAAAAGAAAAATGCATATCAGGAGGGAATATATGAAGAAAGACAAAAAGTCAATAAACAAAATGTAATTGGAACAAGAACAGAGAGACAGAGAGACAGACAGAGATGTTTTGATTCCTGAATGGCACAGAAGATCAGATTCAAAGTTAGGAAAAGAAATGACACTTTTTTTGAGATATTTAAAACTTGAAACAGAAGTTGAAGGAAGTATTGTTGAAGTTGGCCTGGTTTTCTTTCAAACCCCATAAAAAACAGAGATATGTTTGAATTTTGAAAAGTTAGCAGTGGAAATAGCTGGAATGGATGCTGCTGAATATGTGCTTTTCATTTTATAAACATCATAACCAGATGCCTCTCAGAGCTGTCTTTTCCTTTTTGAGTATTCCCCTTTTTTTTTCTTCTTTTCATGAACCATATATACCATAACCCAAAAGGAAAACAAAAATGGTTACAGAGATGAGATAGAAGCAAATCCAAAGTACTGATCCGGATTGTCTCAAGCATGGTATAAAATATAATACCCGTCAACCCATCTACTAACAGTGGGCTTGAGCTGTTACAAAGGTACTAGAGTCAGACACCGAACAGTGATGGTGAGGACATTGGGCTCACTTGGATTGTGAGATCCCACGTCGGTTTGAGAGGGGAAGAAAACATTCCTTATAAGGGTGTGGAAGCTTCTTCATAGTAGACGCGTTTTAAAACTGTGAGATTGATGACAATATGTAACGGGCCAAAACGGATAATATCTATTAGGGGTGAGCTTGAACTGTTACAAATGATATTAGAGCTAGACACCGGGCGGTGTGTCAGCGAGGACGTTGGCCACCCTAAGGAATGTGGATTGTGAGACCCCACGTCGGCTGGAGAGAGGAATGAAGCATTTCTTATAAGGGTGTGGAAATCTCTCACTAGTAGACGCGTTTTAAAATCGTAAAGCCGACGGCAATATGTAACAGACAAAAATAGACAATATCTACGAGTCATCGAAAAATGGTTCCCCACATGATTGGTCATTTGTCAAAATGGTTCTTCCACGTTAAGCTTCTTAGAAACGTTGAGTTCCAGTTTTGCTTGAATCTACAAAGAAAAGCAAAAAGAGAAAGAAAACAGCTTTCCTGCAATAGGCTTTTGATTGGTTGTGTTAAAGAAACAATGCGACTCATTTCAACATGACAGACAAGGTTTNTATATATATATATATATATATTGCTCTTCTCTGTTCAAGAATTTGCTATGCCCTGTTGAATACCTATGTTGTCTTTGATTTGTGTATCTATTGAAGCTTACACAGCTACTGAACATTATTATCTATCAAATTTATCTGTTGATCAAAGTCCAACATATGCCCGATAAGAAAATATCAATTTTATTGGCATGCTAAACTTTTTTGGATGAAATCGAAAGCAAAGGCCACGAGAGTTTGTACTCAAAGTGGTAAGTGGATAAGACGACCACTTCCAACAAAACAGCTGCCATACAATTTTATCCAATTGTTTCCATATAGCTTGCGAATAAGTGGCATCATATCATCAAAGTGGCCCATCCAAATGGGTTTAACTTCATTGAAAGGCCTATCTGTTAAGGTTGTTGGTTGAAGACCACAGAACATGTTCTTAACAAAAAAAAGACAACTGTTCAAATTCTGGGGGTACTGTCGTAGTACTGTGATTAGTTTTGTTTGTTTGTTTCTTTTTACCAAAAGAAAAATGCATATCAGGAGGGAATATATGAAGAAAGACAAAAAGTCAATAAACAAAATGTAATTGGAACAAGAACAGAGAGACAGAGAGACAGACAGAGATGTTTTGATTCCTGAATGGCACAGAAGATCAGATTCAAAGTTAGGAAAAGAAATGACACTTTTTTTGAGATATTTAAAACTTGAAACAGAAGTTGAAGGAAGTATTGTTGAAGTTGGCCTGGTTTTCTTTCAAACCCCATAAAAAACAGAGATATGTTTGAATTTTGAAAAGTTAGCAGTGGAAATAGCTGGAATGGATGCTGCTGAATATGTGCTTTTCATTTTATAAACATCATAACCAGATGCCTCTCAGAGCTGTCTTTTCCTTTTTGAGTATTCCCCTTTTTTTTTCTTCTTTTCATGAACCATATATACCATAACCCAAAAGGAAAACAAAAATGGTTACAGAGATGAGATAGAAGCAAATCCAAAGTACTGATCCGGATTGTCTCAAGCATGGTATAAAATATAATACCCGTCAACCCATCTACTAACAGTGGGCTTGAGCTGTTACAAAGGTACTAGAGTCAGACACCGAACAGTGATGGTGAGGACATTGGGCTCACTTGGATTGTGAGATCCCACGTCGGTTTGAGAGGGGAAGAAAACATTCCTTATAAGGGTGTGGAAGCTTCTTCATAGTAGACGCGTTTTAAAACTGTGAGATTGATGACAATATGTAACGGGCCAAAACGGATAATATCTATTAGGGGTGAGCTTGAACTGTTACAAATGATATTAGAGCTAGACACCGGGCGGTGTGTCAGCGAGGACGTTGGCCACCCTAAGGAATGTGGATTGTGAGACCCCACGTCGGCTGGAGAGAGGAATGAAGCATTTCTTATAAGGGTGTGGAAATCTCTCACTAGTAGACGCGTTTTAAAATCGTAAAGCCGACGGCAATATGTAACAGACAAAAATAGACAATATCTACGAGTCATCGAAAAATGGTTCCCCACATGATTGGTCATTTGTCAAAATGGTTCTTCCACGTTAAGCTTCTTAGAAACGTTGAGTTCCAGTTTTGCTTGAATCTACAAAGAAAAGCAAAAAGAGAAAGAAAACAGCTTTCCTGCAATAGGCTTTTGATTGGTTGTGTTAAAGAAACAATGCGACTCATTTCAACATGACAGACAAGGTTTGTGGTCCTTCATTATTAATTAGTTGGCTGTCAAGATAACCTTAATCTTCTCTTTGGGGACATCTATGAATAATCATTGTTTGGGTGTCTTCATCGAGTGTTCTTACATTTTGCAAGAGAGAAGCTCATGCCTGGTTAAATAAATCATTTTCCCTTTCTAAGAAGACAAGGGTGATACCCGCTCTAAGCTCGGCCCGCACCCAGTTAGGAAGATTGGCCATCTTTGGCTCTATTCCCTGACCCAAACCTATTTACCATAGTCATTAACCTAACCTAAACCTTGCTTTTACTCTATTCCCTGAACCTTCGGTGTCTGTGTGTATGCCTTTTCAATTTGGGAAACGATGTTTTTTCAAATTTTGATCGAACCAAGTGTAGATGGAGCGAGAAAACGAGGTAGAGCAAGATCATGACCCATGATTAATCTCTTTATGTTTTAGAGTGTGTTAAATAATCATCTTATATATTTTTAGAGGTCATAATGCTTTGTTATTTAATCCTTTTTTTTTTATTTAAAAATTTGTAATCATAAATCTAACATGATGTGATAAAAAAGTTATAATCTATATCCCAAAGTATTCCAAAGAAAATAACGCATCAATATAAAAAATATATTCTTTCTTTTTTTCTTTGAAAACACTCACCCATTCACTTTATTATCATATTCCACAATAAAAATACCATTTTCATTCTTATCTAAAAACACACTATTATTATTATTGAGTCACGAAAAAAAAAAATTTAAGGATATAACTCGACCACAAAATTGACCAAATACATACGAAATTAGAGAATATAGTCGAGACCCACTTAATAGGTAAGACACTGACAATCATTTTCAAAATTGATAGTTGAATTTCATGCGTATGTGCTTATACAGGACGTTTGTATACGATTGTACAACACTCACTCTCACCATCGAGTGAGTCAGCCAACTCAAAATCGTGGTGCTTTTGACCTGACGACGTATACCCAAACCTTAGCCACACATTAAGAAGAAGATTTTATAAGATGGAGGCATGGTTCAGATTTTAAATAGAGAGTTCGTAAGCAGGATTGAGAGAAATGAAGAACGCAATGTTATAAATTATAAGCGAAAAATACAACACAAACGACTTAAATAACATATATCTCTCGATAGGAAGAATTGACGACTAGTCACATCCCCTATAATACATTATAAGACATTTTAAATCTAATATGCGTAAACATAATTTTGTCAAGACGTTATACATTATAAAGTAAAAGGAAACTATACATGATAAGAGCGGTAAAAAAAACAATAAAGTGATACAATGAAAACACGCAAGTATAGACAACACGCGTCAGACAAGTATGACCGTGACACGTCGTGGAACGAACATTGGGGGAGCATTATATAGAATGGTTTATGGCCCCTTGTAGGTTGATGATAGCACGCGCGCATGCCGCTGAGAAACCCTAAATTCAAAAGCACAAAACACAGTGGGGCGCCCCCACCCCCGTCTGAGCTTCCACTACCAATCCACAACATTCCAATTCCAAAATTATTATTATTATTATTATTATTATTTAAAATTGTGAAAGAAAATAAATAATAATTTCCAGGGGGAGCCAAAATGAAGTTGATAGATTAAAGATTAAAGATTAAAAGGAACAGGAACAGAAGGGCCAATTTTATACTATAATTCAGCCCCCATCTGCTAAATCCAGCTATCATCAACCACCCACTTCACGGCTGCCGTGTCCGTGTCCGTGTCCGTGTCCGTGTGGTTGAGTACTTTACCTGAATTTAGCACTTGTTCCTGTTCTTCCCAATATTACGACTAACACAATTACTACTCATCTCTGTTCTTTTTTTTTTTTTTGTTTCCATTCATTATTACACCAAATTCAATCCTATATCAATATATATATCTCTTCACCGGAATGTTCCGCCGAACGTCGGTGACCAGAAATCCGCCGTTGTTGCATTTGTCACTGGGAATGTGCTTGAGATCGGCACCAAACAAAGGCCTCGGCTTTTCAGATCTTGTTTTGGGTCTGCTTTTTCTGATACCTGGAATTCAAGCAACTGTAAAGTTTATAACTTTTTTTTTTTTTTTTTGGGTAATTTGAAGAAGTTCATATTTTTTTTACCTGTTGTTGTTGAACGGGTGTTATTCCGTTGTTGTTCTTCATATATGGAGTGCTTAACAGCTGAAAATTTCAAGTAATGAATGAACTAATTTGGGTTTTAAAAGGAAATTAAAGATGAAATTTATGTAAATAATGGAACGTACACTGACTTGATCGTGGAGGAACTTGATGTACTCAATGGCTTCATGAAGAACTGAGGCTGTATCAGTCTGGGGGGAAAAAAGAGACTAGAATTTACATGGAGATATAATATAATAAGCTTGTAAATATTGTCACCTTCACGATTTTAAAACGTGTCTACTAGATAGAGACTTCCGCACTCTTATAAGGAATGTTTCGTTCTCTTCTCCAACTGATGTGGGATCTCACAATCCACCTCTCTTGAGGCCCAACGTACTTGCGTGCACACCGTTCAGTGTCTAGCTCTGATACAATATATTACAGCTCAAATCCACTACTAACAAATACTGTCTACTAGGTAGAGACTTCCACACACTTATAAGGAATGTTTCGTTCTCTTCTCCAACTTATGTGGGATCTCACAATCCACCTCTCTTGAGGCCCAAAGTCCTTGCGTGCACACCGTTTCAGTGTCTAGCTCTGATACAATATATTACAGCTCAAACCCATTACTAACAAATACGGTTTGGTTTGACTCATTATGTATCATTATCAGACTCACAGTTTTAAAATTACTAGGGAGAGGTTTACACACGGTTATAAGGAATGTTTTGTTCCCCTTTTCAACCAAAGTGGGATCTCACAATCCACCCTTTAAGGCCTAGGGTTTTTGCTGGCACACAACTCAATGTCTGACTCTAATACCACTTGTCCGTTTTGACTCGTTATATATAATTGTCAACCTCACAATTTTAAAACTACTAAGAAAAGATTTTCACACCCTTACACTTATAATTCGTAAAGAATGTTTCGTTCACCTCATATATATATATATATATATATATATTTTGGGATGAAATCCAAAAAACTCACCTTTCCAAAGGGTGAAACCAGTTGTTGAAGGGCAGTGACACGGTCCCCTAGCTTCTCTTTCCGCACCTGATAGCAAACCCATTAGTTTTTGTCCTTTTTATAACTCAAGATTCTCCAAACATTTTTTTTTTGTTTTTTTTTTTTTGGATCCTTCACCTTAAATGTTGGCAATGGCGAAGGAGTTTCAATTCGAGGCCTTTTCAACACCGGCGGCTCATTTTTATCCCCTTTCCGTGCTTCTTCACCATCTTCACAATTACCATTATTCATAGCCTAAAGAAAAACAATCAAAATCAATCAAGTGACACCCAAAGCCCAATCATACCAATCAAAATCATACCTTGAAACCAAGCCTACTATTCTGTGGAATTTCAATGGAAGGAGGTGCGTGCGAGGCATTCCAAAAGGGTGTGTTGTTTGTGAAGTGCAGGGCAGGTGAAACAGGCTGAGAGGGCGGCGGGATTGGGAGAGAGGGTTTAATAAGGTAATTAGAAGGATAATTAGTGTTAATTGGAGTGGTGGCGGCGTTGAAAAGGGAGTGAGGGTCAGGATGATCATCATCATCATCATTATCATTATTGTATAAGCCATGGAGCAGCTTAGTTGAAGGGGAAGGGTATCCATATAAAGCTGAGTCAAGAGGAAACAAACCCTGGCTAGTGGAAGAACAACAGTTCATACAATTCACCCCATTTTGTTCCAACAAATAATCTCCTCGCTTCAACCTGTTTCCACAACAACAAAAATTGAGCAAAATTGATTAATAAAAATCGAATCTTTTTTTGTTTTTGTTTGTGGGTCACTTACAGCAAATCATGGGGTTGGTTCCAATGATCGGAGGTGGAATAATCTTGAAAAAACATGGAGTTCTGATTGTCGGAATAATTAGCGGTGGATTTGGGTTTGATGTCGGAAAAATCATCGGCCGGCGGCCAAGCTAAGTCGCCGATCCCCATAGAACACGGCGACAATCCACCGACAGCCACCAACATGGTCCGGGAAGAGCTCCACCAATTATCGCCGCAAATAGCAGCCTGAAAATCCTCTGCCATATTGGAAACCCCAACAAGATATCCTCTAACGCTGCGTTTTAAACCCCAACAAGAAAAAACATAAATTTATAAATTTTTTTTAAAAAATCGAATTTTTTATTCATTTTCTTACTCCTACTTTCCCTTTCCTCTTCTCCCACTAAACTTTTTATTTTTATTTTATTTTAATTATAATTTTTTAATAATTTGGTATAATTTTTTTTTGTTCCTTGAGAATAAAGGCTGTAGGGTTGACAATGATTGTAAAGAAGGTGACGGTGCTTGATCTGACGGTCACGTCAAGCCTTTAGACCAAATGATGTGCTCTTTCTTTTCCATCCAACGGCCTATATTTAGTTAATCATTATTTTTAATATTATTGTGTTTTGAATATTGTAATGAATTCCTAAAATTAACATTATTAGAGCTTAACATATAATTAAAGCTAAAATCAGTGATTTTTATAAGCTCAAACTATATGATTCTCTTTAAAACTGTGTTATTATTTATATTTTAGGTAGAGTATCTTTTAATGCTCGTTATATAAAAGAAACTTCTAATTTAATATTATTTTAATATATATATTATCGACTAAAATTGAATTGCATGCTATAGTATACATGATGATATTAAATGATTAAATTCTAAAATTATTCTCTTGCTTCATTTTGAATATTGTCATGATATTTATGACATAGAAAGTTTTTATTAACTAATAGTATATTTTGGATAATATTTTCACATATATAGAAGCCATGTTTTTTTCTTATTAAAAACTAAATAAAAAAAATAATCATTTTTTTATATTGTTTTAAGAATTCTCTCGAGTCTCTTAAATATTTGGTTTTTTTTTTTAAATAATGAAATATTTGTCAAATACTTTTAATTAGTCAATGGAAAAAAATTAATTAAACTATTAATTCCCGTTGACTAGTTGATTAAATACTCAGTTAATTTGAACTTTTTCCAATTAAGAAATTTTATTTATATTTCATATTTAGAAAATTAAAAGGCTATAGAAACTAGTAGTGTTACTATTTCACCGCCAAATAATTATTGATTTTTTTTAATTATAAAATGCTATTAAAATTGAATAAAGATTTGGAACACTCTAATTTTCTTTATATTATCATCTTAGTAAAAAAGAAAGAAGGGTTGACTTTTGTGGTCCTTAAATTTGGAGAAGTTATGTGGGTTTGATGATTGAGCTAAATGAAAGAGTGTGAAAGTAGGGTTAGGCGGAGTCAAACATTTAATATACAAGTCAACTCACATGTAGAAAAAAAAAAAAAAACATTGGTTAAATGCATCAAATCATTTATATTTCATTTTGTCTACCTCCAAATCTTGACTAAATCTACGCCATGTTTTGCACCTCGTGTCAGAGTAAGATTTTCACAAATTTTGAAGAGATGCGAAGAGATGCTTCGTTCCCTTCTCCAACCAATGTTGGACCCCATAATCCAACTTTTTTGGAGTCTAGTGTCTGTCTTTACTGACTCACTGTTTGGTTTATCACTCTGATGCTATTTGTAATAATCCAAGTCCACCTCTAATAGACATTATCTGTTTTAACTCGTTATGTATTGTTGTCAACCTCACAATTTTAAAACGCGTATGTTAGAGAGTAATTTCTACACTTTTATCTTCAACTTATCATAATTACGTCAAATCCGTCCACTTCCCTCCCTTTGGATTTACTTCTTTGTCCTTTTTTTTTCCCCTTTAAAATTCTCTCCCATACTCTTCCTTCATTTTTACAACCCTCCACATCACTCATCTTATCACCTCACACAATTAATTAAATGCCCATCAAAATTAAATTAACATTAAGTTACCATGATTAAACAAATTTATTTTATAAAGTTTTGATGAGATATTATTATTAATTACCATCTCTATAATTAACATCTTCATCCTTAATTTTTACGACACGTCACCTCCTCTTCTTTCTCCTTCTCCACCGGAACAACGTGTGATTGGAGATGATAATTATTATTAAATAATAAAAATTAAGTGGAAAAAACCCGAGTGACGTCAAGATGAGGATATGGTGAGGTGTACAAAACGACAAAATACCAAGACATGAGTCAGACAAGGTCGGCCCCGTAAGAATGGTGGAAAAGTGCCGTGGATTTCGTTTCATTATGACTCAAATGACACGTGTACAGCTTCACATATGAGAAATATCATATTTTTTAAAAAGAAAATAATAAAATGCTGATCTGTCATGAAAATATAACATAATTGGTGGGGTTTCACGAACATAATAACCGACCCCCACATAAAAGATAATAATTCCTTTACTACCTAATTTTAATTACTTACCTTAATTATTTATCAGCACCCGCTCCAATTCAAATACAATTATTAAAAAAAAAAAAAAAAATCTTGATTTTAATTAAGACATTGATTAGAAAACACGGGTCATTCTTGTCAATGATATGTTACCCCTTTTTGAATATTAATCTTAACAATATGATCTTCATGTTCATATGTTCGTCACTTTTTCCCATAAAATGGAACAAATTTTGATACCAAATGATAGCGCTGGATGGCATTGAAAAGATGGGTTACACCAAATCCTCTGAATTTCCTCTATAAATTCTTTTCATTATTAATTAAATCCTGATTGACTTATACATACAGACATAGTCGTCACAAAGATTGACCCGTATTCATCAAGTCAATTTCATTTCCGAACTTATAATATAAATTTTTAATGTTGGTTTAGCGGGTCAACCCCTTGGTTCTCCCCCCAACAGCTAAAGTCCAAAACGAGGCATTAAAAGTAATGATTAGGGGGGAGAAAATGTTGTATTAGTTAGGTAAAGGTTCAAACAACCAGATTTAATAATCAAATATTGTAGTGCTTCTTATTCCGTCTTATCGCCAAAATTGTCTTACAAAATTGAGGATACGTTGAACCACTAATATAATATAATAAAATATTCTAAGCTTAAGTTGCTCGTGTGATTATTTATTCTATAGTTTCCTGTTTTTAATTATTATGTTATTAATCAAATCTTTCCTACTTTATATTTTATATTTCATGTTTGTGTTTTTGTTATGTTATTGATGTCGTGAGAGTTGTTAGGGGATATTAATAATGTTTAATTATTATGTATATGCTTTGTTTTTTTTTTAAACACTTCTGGAGGGAACAAGTCAGCTACTATTATGGGTACTATTATGAGTTGTTTTGTTAAGAGCACGGTCATTTAACTTGTGACACTAAAAACAAAAATGTTTATTTAACCGTCGAAGCCGTAGGACAAGAAATTTCTACCTATTAGATAAATGGGACAGGAAAGGAGTATTATATTTCCTATACTCATCCCGCCCGCTTTAAAATAGAGACTTTTTAAGTCTCATTTCCAAATTTTATATATTTTCAAAGACGAAAAAACTTTCTATATTCTCTTTTACACAAATATTTTTTAATTTTTAATTTTTTTTAAAGTAATTGGAACATTTGGGTTTTGTTAGCCTTTATTATTAATAATAAAAAAATCATTATTTTTTAATGGTGTTTTACTAAAATTATTATAATTTAGATATAAACTAATTTTATCAACAAATAATAATTTACTCAACTCTAATTTTTAATAACTTAAATCAATACCAATTATATACAATAAAAAAGTTTCTATAATAAACTAGTAAATTTTTTTTTGAGAATCCGATCTCCACAAAAATAAATGGAGAATTTTGCGAGGAAAAATAATAAACGGAAAAAATTCTCTGAGAAACTTGATCCCCATAAACATAAATGGAGAATTTTGTCAGATGAAAAAAATGAAATAGACAGCGGGAATGAAGATTAAGAAAACTTCTTCGTCCCTACCTCATCCCGTAGACATGTATAGTTATAATTTATAAACGTCAATCAAGAATATATATATATATATATATACTTTGCAAAAAAGAAATTTTTTTTTTTATATCTATATTGTAAATAAAAGAGAGCCCAAGCACTAAATGGGCCATTAAACAAATAAAACGTCGCCGTTTTTCGTTTTGCTAAAATCTGGGCCTTATTACACATTATGGGCTTTCAAATTCGTAAGAAGGAGCTTTGTTCCACTTTTACCTACAAACCTTCCTCTGTTTTTCTCCTCCGTAGAGAATGCCGTCCTCTTCCCTCTACCGTCGCCTCCATGGGCTCTTCAACCACTCTGGTTCCTCTGCGTCTAGATCCAATAAACCTAACTCCTCGCCACCTTCCTCAATTACTAACAAACCCAATCAATCCACCGCCGCCACAAATCCTCTCACACCCGAGCAACGTCTTCAAAACCTTGTGAACAAGTTCATAAAAAGCTCCCAGTCCGGCCGCTTCCGCGCCAGGCACAGTATGTATGATTCTACAGTTCGCCGTCTTGCTGCCGATAAAAGATTCTCCATGATTGAGGATATCATAGAAGCTCAAAAGAAGTATGAGGACATTACAGATGAAGGGTTTGCAATCCGCCTCATTATGCTCTATGGGAAAGCGGGTATGTTCACTCATGCACGTAAGTTGTTCGATGAATTGCCTGAATTGAATTGCGAGCGGACTGTGAAGTCTTTTAATGCCCTTTTGGCGTCTTGTGTTAATTCCAAGGAGTATGATCAAGTTGAAACGATTTTTCGGGAAGTACCGCAGGAAGTTTCCATCGAAGCTAATGTGATCTCGTACAACATTGTTATCAATGCGTACTGCGAGATGGATGCTTTTGATAAAGCCATCTTGTTTTTTAATGACATGGAGAAGAATGGAATGGAGGCAGATTTAGTTACATTCAATACGCTTCTAACTGCATATTATAGAAAGGGTCGGTTCTTAGATGGAGAAAGGCTGTGGAGTGTGATGATGAACAAGAATATTGCTCCTAATCTTATAAGTTACAATGCCAGGTTGCGAGGAATGGTTCTAGAGAATAGAATGCAAGAAGGGATTGGATTGGTAGCAGAAATGGAGGAGAAAGATATCAAGCCAGATGCTTACAGTTTCAATGCACTGATTAAAGGTTTTTGTGAAGGTGGGGATGTGGAGGAGGCGAAGAAATGGTATTATAAACTGAAGGAGAATGAAGTTACTCCAAATGGAGCCACTTACCGGACACTTCTCCCCTTCCTTTGCGAGCAGGGTGATTTTGATTTGGCACTTGAACTGTGCAAAGAGGCCATTGATAATCATCGTTTAGTTATTAATGTAGCAGAGGTGCAGCGTGTGGTTGATGGATTGGTTGAAGTTTCCAAGATTGAAGAAGCAAAGGACCTTGTGAAGCTTTGCAATTCCAACAATTATTTAAATTTCAAATTGGATTTACCTCAGACGAGCACTTGAAAAAGTAGTTTACTTTTGTGACTTAGATTTCAATTTTATCCTCTTTGCCAAATTGACTTTCTTTTTCTTCATTTTCATTGAACAGAGATCTGAATGTATTTTTTTAATCTCGAGTTTTGATTTATTATGGAAACATGAACAAGATCGAGAGTTAACTCTCTGCAACATTGCCATTTGTCTCTTGAATTTTCAGTCATTTTAACGTAACCAAGAATGAGAAAAGAAGTTGATGGAAGAATAATTTCGTTCTGTTTCAAGTCGTGTTTATCATAACTATGACACAATCTTAGCATGATAATCCAGTTCAATGATGGTACATTTTCAAATGACGATGGACCTTATATGGAGAATCAGTTGAAAGAAGCACTCAATATCTCGCACAATTTGCTTTCAAAGCAATCCAGTCCAGGGTCGTATAGGTTAAGCAGAGAAAGCTTAACATATCTATCAATTCGAAGCAAAGGAATTCAACTTCTTTTCATAAAGTTTGGCTCGCCGCAAAGCATCCAAGGCCTCAGCTTGCTTTCCCTGACGTTTCAAGTTCACTGCCTTCACCTTTTCTGCTTTGATACGTTCTTCCAGTTGATTTCTTTCTAAGTCTGTATTTTCCATTTTATCAGTGCTGACTCTTGGTGGAGGCTTTAGTGTTTCTTGTTGACCCCTAGATATGCTTGGAGCTGGATTTTCCAAACCAATAGCTTTCAAAGCAGAGAGCAGCTGAGGATCGAGAAAATCCTCAACACTTACATCTCCTGCATGCTCTTCTCCATTCATAGATGATTTTGCTGGGTCAGTAAACTGCTCTAACTGATTTTCAATGGCCTTAGCCTTCTCAAACTCTGCATCAGCTTCTTCGGTTCGACCCTCTCTACGAAATTTCAGAGCCTGTCGCTTGTGCTTGAGTGACTCCTGCTGCAACTTGAAGCGGTCACGAGCAGACATTGGTTTCTGTTCCATGGTTGATGGGCTGCCCTGCTTCTGGTCAGGCGATGGTTTCTGTTCCACAGTTGATGTGCTAGATTCCTTGCGGTCAGGTGAAGGTACATTGTTTGTGGAGATTGTCGAACTTTTTGAATTAAGTTGAACCTGACCAGTGTTTTCCTCCAGTGATTTCTCCAAACGCTTTGCCTGTCGAAGTTCTTCACGAGCTTCTGACAGTTTTCCTTCTCTCTTTAATGTAACTGCCTTCTTCTTGTGAGCCAAAATTTCTTGGCGCAAGAAACTTTCGCTGCTGTGAGAACTAGGGTCCTGAGAGGATTTGTCTGCCTGGTAACGCTGTTTTCCTTCATGACGAAGTACATCGTCTTGGTTTCTGATGCTGAAATGATCTTGGTTTGGAGCAGTAGAAATTGCCTGGAATCCAACTTCTGTGGAACGATCAGCAGCATTAGATAACACATCGGAACGAGGGATTGATAAGTCACCTTGTCGTCCATTACCTACATGAAATATGCAATTATTTCCTGTTAAATATACATTCACATTCTTACCGGGTTGGATAATTGGAACTAGAAGCTTCAGCAGCTCTCTTACCTTCCAGAGAAGTATTTCCACCTGAAGCACCTTCTCTAAACGAGGCTTGGCGCTCCTTAGAATTTAAGCGATCAGATTGACGGTAATGAACTGAATCGCCTTTGGAAAATTTTAAATTCGAAGACGGATCTGGTACTTCATCCTTCAGACCCTCTGCAACTTGTTCTGATCCATTGCCTACCTCCCCCACATCCTTCACACGGTCTAGCAATTCATCTCCCTTCAATGCTCTAAGAACGTCAGATTTGTCAGCAGCATCAAAGACGCCTGTTGGTTTTGGAGTATCCAGTTCATCCATTTGGATCTCCAACGCCTTTGCCCTTTCCAAGACTTCCTCAGCCTCAGCAATGTCTCCTCTCCTTCTAAAGGCAAGAGCCTTTCTTTTCAAATTTAAAACCTCTCTCTGAATTTCACTTCTACTTTGTGGTGCAGCAACATTGATTGTAGAAGATGATTGGTTAACAGTTGGTTTTGCATCCTCGTTAATTGGCTTGACCTGCTTATTTACCGGCGGTTCAACTTCATCACCATTCCATCCCAAATTCTGTAGAACAGACAGTAATGTTGGGTCGTTCATATCTTCCTCAGTGACATCACCACCATCACCTTCATCAACCAACCTTCCAGAAGGGGCTTTGTGAATGTTCTCTTGGTTCCCACTATATACAGTCCTAACTCTATCCCTACGCTCTATGTCCTCCATCTCAGCTTCTAAGGCCTTTGTCCTTATCAGCACTTCCTCTGCTTCCTCAGTCTCCCCTTGGCGTCTAAGAGAGAGAGCCTTTCTTTTCAATCTCAAAAGCTCTCTTTGGACTTCAGCTTTTTTTCTTAGTGGCTTAACTGCGTATTCAGGAGAATCATTTGCAGATGTCTCACTTGGTTCCGCAGGAAGTAAATCATCTTGTTTAGAGGGCTTTGAAGGGACCAATTCATCATCTTTGTCATTCCAACCTAAGTTCTTAAGAACGGAAAGATATTCAGGGTCATGCATTTCTTGATCTGTTACATCTTCAACCACTTCCACATCTAGCAAATTTCTATTGAGATCCTTAGAGAGAAAATCTGGATCCTTGCTCCCAATACCAACACCCACCTCTCTGATGTTCCCCCTTGAAGCATCAGCCGCTTGTTCAAGTTGTTCTTCAAGGACCTTGCATTTGTTCAATTCTTTTTCTGCCTCGTCCAACCTTCCTTCCCTTCTTAAAGCCAGGGCTTTCTTTTTTATAGCAAGAAGCTCTTTCTGGATAGCTAATTTACTTTTTGAAGGAAGTTTAGGAATCAGGACTTCTGTTGTTTCAACAGTGCCACCGCCTGAAACATGGCTATCTTCTTGAGAGCTGCAGTTTTCAAGGTCTCTCTCGAGCATCTTGGCTTTCTTAAGCTGTTCCATAGCCACTGCAATATTGCCTGCACGCTTTTGATTGAGAGCCTCTCTTTTCAAGGAAATTATTTCACTTTTTATTGATTCCCTGGAAGCAGAAGGTTGGGAATCCTCAGTCCATCCTAAGGTTTCTAAAGCAGCAGAAATTTCTGGATCTTCCATGTCCTCATCTGTCACTTCAAAGTTAATGTCCGAAATGATATTATTAGCAGCCCCTAAAAGATTATCAAGATCAAGATCAAGATTTCCCTTGTACTGAAATGAAATATCTTCATGTTTATTATCATCCAAACTACGCACCAATGCAGATAGCTCATCATCTGACTCCTCATCAGCCCCACCCAAGAGTTCTTGTTCTTCAAGCTGCTTTTCTAAAACTTTAGCTTTCTTAAGTTCCTCCTTGGCTTCTGCTAGCTTGCCTTCACGTTTCAACATTAGAGCTTTTCTTTTGTGAGCAACAACCTGGGTATTATCAATGCTATGAACACTCTTAGCTTTATCAGTTTTTTGTAAGACCCCCCCAAGAAGAGAAGATAGTTCACCCTCTAAACTCATTGTAGCTGATTTTTTTTCCTCGGCATGAATATCCATATCAGACCATCCAAGTTCTCTGAGTTCAGCATTAAGGTCATGCTTTTCTTTACTACTTTGTAGACTAGGTTTCATGTTCCTACCAGATGAGCCACCTATATTTTGGTCTTCACCTGCATTACCAGAAGTTAAAGCTTTTCTGCGGCTTTTTCTTATGGAAATTTCCAAAGCGTCAGCTTTTCTCTCGAGCTCTTTTCCTCTCTTAAAAGCTTTTAATGCTTCCTCAGATTTGCCTTCTCCTTTAAGAACTTTATATTTCTTTTTTTCATCTACAGCTTGCTGGCGCAATTGCTCCGGACTACTAGATTCCATTTTATTCTCCAGATGATTAGTTAAACTACTGGATGCCTCTCCTTCCCCATCAAGGTTTATGAACTCTGGAGTATTTGAACTCTGTACACCAGTGGTAGTCCTTCCAATAGTTGAAGAACTGTTGGCATTTGATTCTTGCACAGAAGATGATGATTCATTTCTATCACTACCAAGAATCTTGGCCAAAATGTCATCCTCAGGCTTTGTTGACTTCAAGCTACCTACACGATAAATGACAACGATATGACTTCTTAAAAAAACAACGGATTAAAAAACGACAGAAGATGTTAGATGTGGGTATGGTAAGAATGGATTCAGCGCCGAGCATACCGGTATACCACAAAAGAACGAGAAAGTAATTCATGCCAATGAATTGTACAAAGCTTAAACACGTTCAATTTTAAAATGTAGTTATAGACTGGATGTTTTCATAAATCTATTTTGAGGAAGATAATAAACATGTAGAACAATTTCCATAATGATATACCTCTTCCAGTTCTGCTTTTGTGTCCATGCCGAAGCTCAAACCTTGCAGCTTCTTCTAGCTTTTTGCAAGGTTCGCATATGCGCACAGGAGAATCACCCTGTCCACGCAAAACCATTCTCTGCTGCGTGCAACTACCGCAAAATATTCCCCCGCACCTCCGACAATGATGCTGAAAACCCAGAATGCATACACATCAAAATAATTAACAAGTGCTATCAGCTACCTATAACAATCTATACAGCCGTTTAAATGATTCATGTTTTAATCCAAAATTTGATCCCCATGATGATTCAACAGTCATATTGATTGCAGCCCTAGTGCTACCAAGTCAATCCCTTATACTTCCATACAAAGAAATCGGACACTTTGAGGAACAAAATTTGGCTTCCTTGTTTCCAACTAAGAAAAGAATAAAGAATCATAATAGAATTTACTAAGACGATACTATCATGATGATCTATACAGTGCTTCAAAAGAGAGAGAGAAAAAAAAAAAACAATTAAAAGATGCATTATGAAAAAAACCAAAGATTAGAAGTAAAATAGGACCTTGCGATTGATGAAGGTGAACTGAGACGAACATCCTTGACAATGAGAAGCATCCACCACCCAGTTGTTCCCTCGAAGAGACGGCCTAGCCGGCAATCCGATCTTCTCCAACATCTCGGCTACCGGAGGGAATTAAAATCCAAAAGATATCAAATAAACGAATTCAAAGGAAAAGATCTGATAGAAGCCAGCTTTTTGAAGCTCTTCAATTTTCTTTCACAGTCGGGCGTACGTTTTACAGGACTGGAAATCGATTGGTTTTAGGAGGAGGAAAGGTAGAAGAAGGAAATTGCAGACCAGAGAGGCCGTAACGACGACTACGGATGAAGTAATTCTGCAAGGTGAAGGACAGGCAACGACGCCGTATAGAACATGGTCCATTGTTGACGGTTGAATTGACGCCGTTTCATTATAGACCGACGTATCTGGGCCTCGAATATGGGCCTCCACTACGCAAATGGCCCACGTGGGGAAGTAACCACTTTCATTTTTAAAAGATTTGATTTCAGCTTCTTTTTTTTTTTCAAAAAAAAAAAAGAAGGTATATTTGATTTTTTAAGCTTAAATTATATTTCTAATTAATCCTTTAAAGACTAAAATAATATATAACTCTATTTAAAATTACTACTAACAAATATGGTTTTATAATTATGAAATTATTGGTTATACTTTAGCTGCTAAAACTCACAATATTGGTTGAAGGTGAGCTTGAACGGTTAAAAATTCTTTGGCCAAATGTCGAGAAATAGAAGAGATTTTGTGGATGAACCGAGTATGGTTCTCCCATGTCGCTACACTTGCAGCCATGGGTGCAGAAAGGGGCTGGACAGTCCAATGGCAGCCATGAGTATGGACCTTAAAAACAACCACTCTCCCCTCATCCATCACTTTCCAACTTTTTACTGTATTTTCCCCATGTTTTGGATTCACCGATTTCATTTCTTTGCATTCATCTTGTATTTACTTTTTAATCTACCAGAAAATACTTGGGAGTCGATCAAATTCGTATTCAATAATCATTAGAAGAAACTCATAAGACATACAAATGCCTAATTTTTCCTAATCACCGTCTGTAAGTTACCACGAAGCAAGGAAGTACAGCTTCAGGATTGAACACAAACAGTTCTTCCTGTTTTGAATTCTGTCCCGTTTTCCCACTCGACGATTCGAACCCAGAACCGGAATTGGCGTTCAGTTCATCTTCCTCCATGCATCCGCCCCAGACCATCCCTGCAATCACTCTGCACACCATTAAGGCTCTTCTTAAGCCGCCCATATCTTCTTCTTCATTCATCTCAATACATTCGAAGGCTCTTCCACTTGTTGCGCATGTAAATACGCCTTTATTAAACCCATGTCTTAATATTTGGCAAACTCCACAGTTATCCAAATTGCATAAAATCTGAGACCCATTTGCCGCTGCTAATGGGCAAGCAATCGTCGTGCCATGGAACCTCAAGAGCTCGTTTCCATCGACTAAACAACGTGGGTTTTGCTGCTCCAGTTTGCTCGCTCTGCTTTTCACCGTTGCTCTGTACTCTTCAAACAGAGACAGAGTTCTTGGGGAATTCTGGACTTTGAAGACATTCTCAATGTGGTGGGGTTTCGACGTTGGCCATGTTCTTTGGCAGATTAATTCTATCACTTTCCAGGATGAATCCTCCTGCGCTAATTCTCTGACTGCAAATGGAAACTAATTCATTATAATCTATGATTTGAAGAGTTCAAGAAACAGAGGAAGCAGTTTAATCTTTCATTACCGGCATGCTTGGAAAGATGATGGGACTCCATGGCATCTGAATTCTTAAAAAGCCCACCACATTCTTGGCAAATCAATTCAGAACCATCGTGGAATTGGTTGATTCTGTCGGAAGTTGCAGAAGTGGCATGCCCATTTCTTGTAGCAGAGCTTTTATGGAGTTCAAGACTGGTTTTTTCTTCGTGGGGAACAGAGAAGCTATCCGTTTTAGTTTGTGCTTCAATTTCATGGGTCATGGTGAGGAGAACTTCACTGTTCGCCATTGATCTCGAGCTGGAGCTTGGCGATGGCTTCTGCGAGTGTCTCTTGCTTCCACAAATGATGTCTCTGAGGTTAGATTTAGACCTTAAACAACCAGATGAATCTCGGTCTGTTCTTTCCTTGGAGTTTGAATCACCAATGGCTTCTGGAACATGAACATCACAAAGGAATGATTTGGTGCAGGATAATGATCTCTTCAGAGTACACCAAACTTCTGGCATTCTACAGTTCTGCTCTTCCACTGGTCTCTAACGATTCTTCTGAGAAACCCTTGAACTTGTCTGCCGCTGCGGTCTAAAAAGGAAACTAGAACCAAATTTTCTCATCAAAATGTTCCTGTTTCTGGTACACCTTTTCCCTAATCTTCTGCGAACTCTTTCCTATCTCGAAACACCCACAAAACGAATTATGTAAAGGAATTAATGGGGTTGGAAGCGTTTTTCTCCACAAAAAGTAACATGTTTTATTTTGATACTACTACATCGTGTTCAAATACATTGAAATTTTTGGTGGAGTGAGCTCCAGCCGCCATTTCCCAACACAAGATACAGGATGAGAACAATGGAAGAACATAGTCAGCTACATACACTGCCACCACTTTCCTTAAACGACCAAACACAGTCAAAACTAGTTGCAGAGACACTTCTCATTATGGAAGACTAGATGACAGTTCAAGCAAGAACCATCAATGCCCACATTGTCTCGAGCAAACTTGAAAACAGCACGTTCCACAGAGAGAATGCAGAGCAAGGTAATCAAAACCAAGTTATTGGCTAACCTGCAGCCTTCTATAAGTTCCACAGAGAGAGTGCAGAGCAAGGTAATCAAAACCGAGTTATTGGCTAACCTGCAGCCTTCTATAAGGAATCACGACCTTCTAAGACCTCATACTAATGAATATGTATTTCTTACTTATAAACTCATAATCAACCCCGACATGGGACTCCTCTTCCAACAATCCTTAACAGCTTCATCCTCTGCTCGGCTTCATCTTCCCACCAAACACAATCTCACACTCGTGCTATCCTTCAACTTTAGTCAGCACACAACTAATCAAATAAGCAAAGACTGTTGAAGGTATCTCTCAGATAATGACACTAAATCAAACGAGTTCCAACTTTACCCACAGTTAGAATTCTCACAAGTCTTAGTAGTGATGATCACATAACAAGTAGTGGGATACCAAAAGAAAAAAAGAACCCAGCTCTTTTAACTGTGTTATATTCCAAAGAGCTTTTTGGTGGATTAAAAAGCTTGAAGAGGGAGAGTAAAGATTAGGGAAACAGTGAGAGAATGATACTCAGCCTGCTCTGCTGGAGATGCCCAACTTTCCTTGCACCCTGTGACAAGAATCAGCATCTAAACATAAAAGGGAAGACATAGGAAAGAAAATTTGAAGGAGAAAAGAAGCTTTTACAATGTTATTACATCTAAATCTAAGGCATCACATATAAGCTTGTTAACCTGCAAGCTGGCCTTTCCTTTATTCGTATTCCATCCTATTAATGTAGGGAACTTACAAAGCATTCTTCACAAAGCATACAGTCCTTACCTGTGATTTCCTATTGAGTTGCTTTCCTTCCATTTGTGTCTGCAAAAATGCAGAAAGCTTCTGGTTTTGTTGTCTGCATCTTGGTTATTGTTATGGATGTTACAGCCGGAATTCTTGGAATTCAAGCTGAAGTAGCTCAAAACAAGGTATATTGAAAGCTGGAGTCAAAATTGTTATGGGATATTTTGTTTTTCAAATGATTTTGAGTACTTTTGACAGGTGAACCATTTCAAAATGTGGATATTTGAGTGTAAAGACCCAAGCTATAATGCTTTCAAGCTAGGCTTGGCTGCAGCCATACTGCTGGGCCTTGCTCACGCCATTGCCAACCTGGTTGGTGGGTGTGTTTATGTTCGATCTGCTCAAGAATACAAAGGATTAACCTCTAACAAGCAACTTGCAGCGGGTTCACTCGTCTTTGCATGGTGAGTAGCAGCCTTCCCTTCCCTCTGAAGTCCTAATAGACTTGTCATCTGAAAACACACATAAACTGGATGTTTTTGAATGCCAAATACACCAGGATTGCAGTAGTGGTTGGATTCTCGTTGCTCATCTCTGGGGCGATGTATAACACCAGGTCAAGAAAATCATGCGGGCTTGCTCACAATCATCTTCTGTCTATAGGCGGGATCGCGTGCTTCGTACACGGCTTGTTTGCAGTTGCTTACTATGTTTCTGCCACAGCAGGAAACAGGGAGGAGACGAGGCCGCCACCACAGGGGCACCCTGCCGGAGCTACAGGCCACGTTTAGCCACCTCTGATCTTCATGTTTTCCTAAGAAAACTAACTTCCGGATGTTACTTCAACTCGTAGCTAGTAAATTTGGGGAAATAGCTCTCTTTGCTAATAGGAAATCATATTCCTGTTGTTCAGAGATAGTAAAATAGGCCTTCTATAAGAACTAATGTACTAATCTGCAATTTGGAAATGGGGTTATATACCATATTTTTACTATAAAATTCTTGAATCATTCAATTAACCAGAATTTTGTATAATTGTTATAAGATCATAATCTGCGAACACTAAAAGAACATTAATCAAACAGTCATATAAACCTATTCACCCCATTCAGCACCTATATGAGCAATTCATCCACAACAAGAGAACCGTAATTTACACCTCCATGGGATTTCCTTACCTCAAATTAAACATGGAGAAAATCATAATATTCATGATGTTCAATTTCTGAAAACGCCAAGAAAAGAAGCATCCAACAAACATCTTGAATGATAGTATAATACCCATACCAGAGTAAGACAGAAAGTCACCTGTTTAACAATGAGGAAAATAAAAAGCAGTTGTTCTTGGGAGAGAAACAAAAAGATAAATACACCATCACTAGAATAAACTGACGTCAATACCACATATAAGTAGTAGAATTCACCAACAGAAGTAGAGATTTATGCATAGCCGGTAGTAACTTACCCTAAGGTCTCGAGGATATAAATAAAATCAGACAAATTTAAAAGTATGACAACCCTAATCCTAGACAAAACAACAAACAACATGAATATATTTGAGCTCTGAACTATCAATCTGAAAGCTGAAGAATTATACTCTTGTCCAAAGTCCAAATCCTTACTTGTCAGATGATTTGTAGGCGTCTAGTATCAACTTTGCCTGGTCCCTAATCAAATCCGTCCTCTTCAGAAAAAGCTCTAGTTCTGCAAGATGCAATTTCTTCCACTCCTCCTCCAGCTCTGTTCTCTTGGATTGCCCTATTAAATTTAATCCTGGCTTCAAAAAACTTTCTGGAAAGCCAGCAGCACCCAAAGACCTTTCAAATGCAACAAAACCATCCATGCACCCTGAAGGAGCTTCGTTATCATCAATTTTCATCTTAGCATCATCCTTTGGGGCATCTGGAGAAGGAAGCAACTCAGCTTTGAGTGAAGCCAGTGTCTTAGTGGAGCTACCTCTTTGATTCTTCTTTGGAGTGCCATTAGCATTTGGCTTGGGCTGCTCCACAACCGGAGTCCGAGTAATTCCTTCGCCCCCCCATATTTTCTTTGACAGCTCAAAACCTTTTTGTTCGTGGGGTTTTGAAAATGTTGGGTCGGCACCCTTTTTACCTCTATCAACATTGTTCCTGTATTTCTTCTTCAATCGACGTATCTTATCCACTAACTGGGCCCTGGTTACGTCGACGTGAAGAGATTTCTTGATGAAATCATGGAAGGCATTCATATCAAGAGCTGGGTCAGCACCCTTCTTGGCTGTATAATCAATTATGCCGTTCAGTATAGCAATCTCATCGTCCTCACTCCATAGTCTCTGAAACAACTTTTTGGATTCGTCAACAGATTTCTTGGAATCATCGTCCGCGACAACCCCATCATCAGCGTCAGCCTCAGAACTCTTTGGCCGTTTTGCCTCTCTTACTGTCTCACTAGGCCTCTTCAAAGACGATCGCGCAGGCGTAGCTGAGGCAGAAGGCTTGGATCTGGGCTTTTTCATCTTTGGAGTCTCTTCAATCGGATTAGAGGTAATCGGCTGGACGTTTCTTCCGGATGTACCCGAATCGGTATCGGATCCGGAGCCGCTGTCTGAGGAAGAAGACTGAGCCTGAGAGTTAGTAGCAAGTTCAGACTTCTTCGGTGCTGCTTTTTTATCGACAGCAGGAGTAGAAGGAAGAGCAGACTTTTTCGGTTTCTGAGCTTGAGTTTCTTCTTCATCCTCCCCTTCTTCAGAGGAAGATCCGTCTCTGGATACACCTTCCTCCTCCTCGCCCGATGAGGTTTCTTCTAATTCGGAGGAAGACGCTGCCGGTGGCTCATCCAACGGTGACCGTTTGGGAGCCATAGACGAGACTAAAATTGGGGTTTGTTTCGCCTGCTAGTGCTAGGGTTTGATCAGAAACAAAACTTCAAAAACTTTAATTAAACGCATATGGTTCACAATTTGTGACATTAAATTCTTTGATATAATGGCAACGATTTTCAATCATTTTCTAAAAGATAAATTTCAAATTTTAAAAATTTAAATACTTATTAAACCTTTTTAAAAATTTAAGACATAAAATACAAAATTATCATATATATATATATATATATATATATAATCAAAATTTTATATATATTTCAAAGTTTAAAATATTATTTAGGACAACATAAAAAATTAAAAATGAAATTTGTATTTAACTTTTCACAACCTAACCGGGTTGTCAAAATTTTTTTTTTTTTGAGTTTTATTTATCTACCATTTATAATTATTCTAAAATATATTAAAAGTTCACCAACAAACCCAAATCAATATATAAATAAAAAAAAATATAAAAATATTTTAATTAAAATATACTTATTTATAGGTTACCTTAATCCTAAACTATTAGAAAAATAAAAATATATATAAATTATGATATAATAATGTTTGAACAGATAGATAATAAATATATTATGAATTAAAATATATTTAATATATATATATAATATAAACAAAACAAAGAAATTAAAAATAATATATTAATTAAAGTAACAAAAAAATCATGAAATTAAATAAATAATAAAAAGGATAATTTTAAATATTGTATATAACAAAAATAAAATATATATAAATATATTTTAATTGAAATATGTTTATTTAGATGTTATCTTATATCCTAAACTATTAGAAAAATAAAAAAATATATAAATTGTAATATAATAATATTGAAACAGATATATTTATACGATACATTCGATCTTAAACTATAATAAATAAATAAATAAAGTTGAAATAGATAGATAATAAATATATTATAATTTAGAATATGTTTTAAAATTATATATATATATATATAAACAAAACAAAGAAATTAAAAATAATATATTAGTTAAAATAACAAAAATTAAATTAAATAAACAATAAAAATAATTAATTTAAATGTATTGTATACAATAAAAATAAGGAATATATAAAAATATTTTACCTAGGTTTAATATGAAAAATAAAAAAATATATAATTGGGCTCCAGGAGGGTTGGCTCCGGAGGGTTCTGACTTGGGTTGAAGAATCTTTTCCTTGCTGTATAAAAAACAATCATTTTCTAAAAGATAAATTTCAAATTTTAAATATTTAAATATTTATTAAACATTTAAAAAAAATGCAAAATTATCATATATATATATATATATATATAATTAAAATTACAGATATTTTTCAAAGTTTAAAATATTATTTAGGATAACATTAAAAATTGAGGATGAAATTTGTATTTAACTTCACCATATATATATATATATTTATTTATTTATTTTTGGTTAAATTACAATTCTACAGAATAAACTGGTTTGCCGATTCTTCCTCAATATAAAGGGTCTCAGACAGACTATGCTGTGATTCTTGTGTGTAATCATCAACATGCTGTGGCAAGTTTGAGGCATTACTCTGCAGCAAAAATCCGGGCCGCAGAGGTACAGGAAGAGTGAAGGAGTTGCTATTGAGCATGACAACAGCTGAAGCCATGGTGGGTCTGCTCTCTATGTTTTCTTGAACACACAGTAATCCTAGATGGATGCATCTCACCATTTCATCCATGCATGTTCTACCCAATATCGGGTCTATGATGGCCCCGACATTCCCTTCCATCCAGTTCTTCCATGTCTGCTTTACTAAATTTGTGTTAAGCTTAGCAAACAAAGAACAAACGTTTCTAAAACATTTATACTCACGTAGCTTAGAAGGTGCTCTGTGTTTTCTCCATCTTGGAAGCAACTGTTCTTTTGGCCACTCATGATCTCTAGCAGAATTACGCCAAAACTGAACACGTCTGATTTCACTGAAAAATGCCCGTACAACGCGTACTCTGGAGCCATATATCCGCTTGAAATAAGAAACATTCAATCTTATAAGACATCCTAAATTTGGTAGAAAATACTGAAAGTGAAAGTGAATGATGAAAACTTACTATGTTCCCTTGATTTTACTTGTATCACCATCTGATTGATCAGTTGAACACAATCTTGCCATTCCAAAATCGGTGATTTTTGGATTTAGGTCGGCATCTAATAAAATATTACTAGCTTTAAGATCGTGATGGATGACTTTGAATCGAGAATCTTCGTGTAAATACACGAGTCCACGACTGATGCCAACTATAATTCTGTAACGTCTCGACCAGTCCAAATATTGACGTTGAACTGGATCTGCATTTTCATTTGATAAGTATATAGCTGCTTAGTTTATGAGAAGATGCCCAAGAACATAGAACAAAGTGGGAATAGGTTACCAAATATGAAACGATCTAGGCTTGAGTTCAGTAAAAGCTCGTAGATGAGGAGTCTTTCATTTCTCTCAAAGCAAAAGCCAAGAAGTCGAACCAGGTTCCGATGTTGTAGCTTAGCAACCAGTGAGACTTCAGTTTTGAATTCGAAGTCACCCTGTTGCGAACCTTGAGCTAGCCTTTTCACAGCCACTTCTTGTCCATTCAAAAGCTTACCCTGAAGATGCATAAACAAGGAAAAACCCTTTTAAGTCTTCTACCCTGTTGAAACAAAATGCTATACTATTGTTCTTGTAGCAGCCTATATTGTCCGCTTTGGCCCGTTACGTATAGCCGTCAGCCTCACAGTTTTAAAATGCATTTGTTAGTGAGAGGTTTCACATCCTTATAAGGAATGTTTTTGGTTCTTGCAGCAGCCTATATTGTCCAAATTGGCCCGTTACATAGCTGCCGGCCTCACAGTTTTAAAATGCATTTGTTAGTGAGAGGTTTCATGCCATCGTTCGGTGTCTGGCTCTGATACCATTTGTAACAGCCCAGATCCACCGCTAGTAGATATTGTCCTCTTTTGGTTTTCCCTTTCAGGCTTCCCCTCAAGGCTTTAAAATGCATTTACTAGGGGAAGGTTTCCACACTCTTATAAATGGTGGTTTGTTCCCCTCTCCAACTGATGTAGGACATGAAGCCTGATGTTTGCCAAAGCTGCCTCAGTGACTATATATTTTCTCACACGACTATGTCCTAAGCAGAAAGAAGCATTCCTGTGTAGAAACCGTAAGGTTGACGGCTATACGTAACGGACTAAAGCAGACAATATCTACTAGCGATGAATCTGAATTTTGGGTTGTTACAGTTCTATTTCATTCAATTACCTTATAAACAGCACCAAATCCACCTTGACCAAGTTTATTTGAGATAGCAAAGTCATCTGTTGCATCTCTAATCGTCTTGAAATCATATTGCAAGAAATTCACAGGGCTAATGTCATCATGATCAGTAGCTTCACAAGTCGTGAGGTGACATAGAATTAGCAATTTAGCAGAAATTCACACTTTCAAGATGATAATTTTAAAAAGAAAAACTTGGGTTTTGAAGAAGATAATGTGATCTTACTCTCAACTCTCTCCCTCAACTTTCTGGATCTCAAAAACATGTAGATGCCGATGGCGAAAACCGAAACAACCACGAACGGTAGAGCTATTACAATGGTAGTGTGTACGGCAGTCTTCTTCTTGTCTGAAAACAAACAACATTAGTAAGACTCTGTTTGATAACTATTTGACTTTTTGTATGTTCGACCATAAACCGAACCTTCTGAAGACGTGGTATTGCTGGATGGAACAAAAACTAGCGGCAGTGGTGGTGAAACCAGTAGAGGATCAAAGAAGGGGGACATCTGATATCTAACATTACAGCTGGGTGAAAAAAGTCTCCAAGCTACGCTACAACATGCTGGAATTTTTTGGATAGCTGAATCTAAGCAAGCATCACATTCAATTTGAGACAAATCAGGTGTGCACTGCATAAGTGCATATATCCTCCCCAACCCTTCTCCAAATATATCTCCAGCTGCATACTTCCGTAAAGAATCACCTGAAGAAGCATTATCTTTCAAGCTATACAGCAATGTCCTCAGGTTGTGCTTGAACAGATCTTCCTTTATCACACTGTCGTTGTTCATCAACACTATGTACATGGGTTCAGCTTCCATTGTGCCAAACATGCGACGACTTGAATAGCGCAACATACAGTTATCATACCACCCAATACCTTCTTTCTGCTTAGGACATAGCCGTGTTAGAAAATATATAGAGTCGTTGAGGCAGCTTTGACAAACATCAGGCTTCGTATCTCCTCGGCAGAGCGCCATGGCATTGGTTCGTTCTGAGCTTTCACCATAGGAAAAATTGTAAAAGCCATTGCCACTATCTTTGGCAGTGGCAATGGAAGAGAGTACATGATCGAGGTTGGTCTTGTAGGTGCTGTTGCTGGTGAAGTTCCCTACTTGATACATGCAGACATGGTTGACAAAGACTGGCTGAGTGGCACAGATTCTGGCAAAGAAAAACAAGGCAAAAGGAAGAAAGAATGCCATAACAACAGGAGAGTTACAAAAAACCATGACATATAGGAGCTTCCCTTTTAATGAGCGTAATGAAGGTCGTTGGCTTATTTTTCCACCAATGAAGAATGCTTTAACTTCTGAGCTTCGGCTACGACTTTCCTTTATTTTAATAGAAGTTTTATTGTATGAACTACTTTATTAATAATAAATTGCAGATTGAATTTCCAACCAACTCAGAAAGCTCAGTTTTTTCTCAATCTAAAGTTATAAAATAACTTAAGATTTGATAAAAATAATGGGCTGCCTGAATACGTACAATATTGGCCAGAAGACTCTTCATTGTCAAGCGGTTGACAACGTGAGAGTGACGCCCACCGCTAGCAGATATTATCTGCTTTGGCCTGTTATGTATAACCGTCAGCGTCTTTTCACACCTTATAAGAAATGTTTCGTTCCCTTCTCCAACCGAGGTGGGATCTCACAATCCACTACTTAGAGCCAGTGTCCTCGCTACCATATTATTCGGTGTCTAGCTCTGATACTATTTGTAACAGCCCAAACTCACCACTAGTAGATATTGTCTGCTTTGGCCTGTTACGTATAACCGTCAGCCTCATGATTTTTAAAATGTATCTAAGGAGAGGTTTCTACACCTTTATAAAAAATATTTCGTTTCACTCTTACTAGGATCTCACAGTCTTGCTTGTATGGCTAGGAATTCATCTCACTTTCCTGCAAACAAGAATGTCAAAAGCCAGTCCATGGAATAAAATGTCATCGATTACTATAATCTAATATCTCTCAACATCATGACGACCAAATCCAGTCCAGATTTTCGATTCATTTCAGCAAGGGAACAATTTGTTTGACCTTCCTCCATCTCTGTTCTCTTAGATTTCATCATCTACCAGAATCCTAGCTTCAGAAACTTTCTTGCCAGCTCTAGAAAACCCTTCAACAATCAAGAAAACAACAAACAACAATCCCCTAAGTTCTTCACGATCCCCGTTTGACTTGTAATAGAGGATAGCTGTTGATGTTGATGGGGAAGAAACAAGAACATTGGCTGAAGAGTTCTGCTAAAAGTCGTCCGTCTATCAAAAGCTCCTGCATTTTTTTCCCTTCTTTTAAATTTTACAAAGATCCCTTTTTCCAAACTCAGCTCCCCACCCACAACCACTCCCCACAGGGATGGTTTTTGACTCTTCCAAATATTTGTTCATCTAGACTCAACAAAAGATTTAAGCTGCTGGGCACGTTCACAAAACCATTCTGGATTCATTTTTTATTCAACAACATAATCATTGACGAGTTATAAGGAAGAAAAAAGGAGCTGAACAAGTCAAATTAGTACTAATCCAGAAACTTTCGTCTTAACACATGCAACGACTATTTGGGTTTGAGAAGGTAATAATTTTCTTTCGCTTACAAACAGTAATTCTGAAACTTTCAAATGATGGGCAGGTTAGGTGTTGATCTTACTTCCACTTTCACCAGCGTTTTGGTTGATGTTGAAGAACCCAAAATATTGTGGACAAAATGTCTTCATTTCTATACATAAAAATACCTTTGAACTCATCATCCTCGTTCATTCTTCTTTGTGCTACCCCAAAACTAAAAAACCATGATTCATTTCCTCCCTCAAACACCGTCCTTGCCTTCAATTTTACTACTGATTTCAATCTCTGGACTAATAGTCCCTTGTTGTAGCCAACGCTATTTAAACTGCTCAGGAACCAACACGGCTCGCCCAAATCTGAATTCTGACATCAACTTCCTACTGAATTCCTTGACCTCTCGAGCTTCCTCTCACACTTTTTACACTGAGACCTATAATGGAATCCATGGCCTCTTTCTCTGCCGAGGGGATCTTCCTAATGAGGCCTGTCATACCTGCATCGAAGGAGCAAGTCAACAAATCAAAGTCACCTGCTCATCACAAACAAATGGTACCATAGGCTTTGATGAATGTATGTTGAGATACTCAGTTGTGAACTTCTTTGGGATCCTGGAGACAGTTCCGAGAATACTGTTATATAATAGTCTGAACCAATCTACTATTGAAGACCGTGATTTCATTGATCTTGCATTGGTGTCTAATTTAGTACAAGATGCTACAAATTCAAATATGATGTTCAAGGAAGGTGAGGTAAATGTGGGTGGTGTGGATCAGAGATTTGGACTGGCACAGTGTACAAGAGATATCATCAAGCGTGATTGTGAGGTCTGTTTGACAAATTTGGTGACTTTTGCAAAGGGATGTTGCTTAAGGCAAAGAGGGTGGCGAGTTTTAGCTCCCAATTGTAATTTAAGGGTTGAGGCCTTTCAGTTTTATGGGATACCAGGACCTCCATCCTTGCCTCTTGATGAAGAAGGTAAGGTGACGACATTGATTTTGTTTTCCTGACCCTCATCAATTTTCAAAGGTTTTGATCTAATGATAAAAGGGAATGCACAGGAGGCAACAGAACAAGGATCGTTGTCATCAGCATATCAACAGTTGCAGCAGCGGCAGTTCTGCTAGGAATGATTTATGCCTCATTTTTATGGAGAAACAAAAGGGGTAAGAAGACTAAACCCTTTGCATAAACAATGTACTTGTAGTAGGATTTCGATTAATATCACATAACAAGAAACATGGCTTTTCATTCAGAGAGGGATAGAAGTGAAGAGCTTCCTTTGCGAAATCGAGTTGATCAACAACTGGTTTACTCATTGAGACAACAGTTGGATGCATCAAATCAAGACAGTGATGGAGATATGCCTTTCTTCAGTTTTAGTTCTCTAAAGACTGCTACAGATGACTTCTCAGATGCTAATAAACTTGGAGAAGGCGGGTTTGGTCCAGTTTACAAGGTTAATTGTGAGATCTTACATCGGTTGAATAGGGGAATGAAGCATTCCTTATAAGGGTGTGGAAACTTTTGCCTAGTAGATGCATTTTAAAAACCTTGAGGGGAAAGCCCAAAGAGGACAATATCTGCTAGCAGTGGGCTTGTGCTGTTACAAATGGTATTAGAGTCAGACACCGGGCAATGTGCCAACGAGGACGTTGGGCCCCTAAGGGGTTGGATTGTGAGATCCCACTTCGGTTGGAGAGAGGAACAAAGCATTCTGAGTGTGGAAACTTCTCCCTCGCTGACGCATTTTAAAAACCTTGAGGAGAAGCCCGAAAGAGAAAGCCCAACGAGGACAATATCTGCTAGCAATGAGCTTGGGTTGTTACAAATAGTATTAGAGCTAGACACCGGGCAGTGTGTCAACAAGGACGTTGGGCCCCCAAGGGGGTGGATTGTGAGATCCCACGTCGGTTGGAGAAAGAAACAAAGCATTCCTTATAAGGTTGTGGAAACTTCTCCCTAGCAGACACATTTTTAAAACCTTAAGGGGAAGCCCGAAAGGGAAAGCCTAAAGAGGACAATATTTGTTAGCAGTGGGTTTGGGTTGTTACAAATGGTATTATAGCCAAACACTGAACGGTGTGCCAGCGAGGACGCTGGCCCCCAAGGTGGGTGGATTATGAGATCTCACATCTGTTGGATAGGAGAACAAAACATTCCTTATAAGAGTGTGAAAACTTCTCCCTAGCAGACACGTTTTAAAAACCTTGAAGGGAAGCCCGAAAGGGAAAGCCTAAAGAGGACAATATCTATTAGTCGTGGGATTGGCATGGGTTATGACAATATGTTGATTGATTGGAATTTAGGGAAAGCTGATGGATGGTGAGGAAGTAGCTGTGAAAAGACTATCAACAAAATCAAATCAAGGATATGAAGAGTTCAAGAATGAAGCAAAGGTCATCTGGAAGCTTCAACATAAGAATCTGGTTAGACTCCTGGGATATTGTGTTGAAGGAGAAGAAAAACTTCTAATCTATGAGTACATGGCAAATACAAGTCTTGATGCTTTCTTGTTTGGTTAGCTCTCTTTCTCTCCTATAATCTCGTTTTCATTATCCATACACTACAATCCATGTCATGGTTTTACTCATCTAATTGCACTAGCAGATCCATTGAAGTGCAAACAACTCGACTGGCTCAAGCGCGAAAACATTCTCAATGGGATTGCAAGAGGAATTCTGTATCTCCATGAAGATTCTCGACTCAAAATCATCCACAGGGATTTGAAAGTGAGTAATGTACTGTTAGATGAGGAGATGAATCCAAAAATATCAGATTTTGGAACTGCTAGGATATTTGGAGGCAAGCAAATTGATGCCAGCACCAATAGAATAGTTGGAACATAGTAAGTCATTTACAGCATATCTATATCCATTTGTACCAGAGTTTCTAGATAGCATGTAAACTTAGGAATACATAAATCTTTATCATTACCTTCTATACTGTATTATTAATCATTGTGTTTCATATCCTCGTTGCTCATTCGTTGTAATTGGCAATGCTATAGTGGCTATATGGCGCCAGAGTATGCTATGGAGGGTGTTTTCTCAGTTAAATCCGATGTATACAGTTTTGGAGTTCTAATCCTGGAGGTGATCAGTGGGAGAAAGAGCATTGGTTTTCTAAACATGGACAGAGCGCAGAACCTTCTGTCATATGTATGTATGCTTCTGTTCTTTATAAATAAAAAAAAGTGTCTCCCTCTCAGTTTTGTGATGCTTGTTTAACAGAGATAACAATTTAACAGGCATGGGAGCTATGGAATGAAGGTAGAGCAGAAGAAATGATAGATGAGAACCTGGCTGGAGATTATCGTGAGAGTGAGGCCGTAAAATGGATCCAGATTGGCTTGCTGTGCGTGCAAGAAGATGCTAACACCAGACCCACCATGTCAATGGTTGTTCTAATGCTTGGAAGCCAGGCGGTTCACCTTCCTCAGCCGTCAAAACCTCCATTTCTTACAGGTCGAGGGTCTATCAGTAGATATCAATATTCATCAACTGAAACAGGGACAGGGCTACTCACCACAGATCAGTCGTCTACTACTGCTTCTATCTAGCCACTGCATTCATTCAATTTTATGATGTACTTTATTTAGTTTTTTTTTTTTTCTTCCGGTCATAGATTCCTGTACATGGTTTAAATGAACATTTGTCTTTAAAGAGATAATGTCCTCTTTTCAGTTTCCTCGCTATATAATGACTCAACAACATCTACTAATAATGGACTTAGCTTTACAAATGATATCAGAGCTAGTCACCCGACAGTGCGAGATACTAATTGGAAAAGAATTAAACCTTCTCTATAGTAAAATATAAGTTTTTGACTAAATATATGTATTACTTAAAAATAAATAAATGACAACCATAATTGAGTGATGTTAAATTCGACGTAACATTTTAAAACATACCAACTAAACTTAAAACTAAGTAACATTTTAAAATTTAAAACCAAATGAAATCTAGATTCAAAACATAGGAATAAGATTGTAAAATTTTGAAAATTAAAGATGTCCTACATCGATTGGGGAGAGAAACAAATTACTATTCGTAAGAGTGTAAAAACCTCTCTCTAATAAATATGTTTTAAAATCATGAGGCTACGACAATATGTAATGAGTCAAAGCAGACAAGTTGACCGTATCTACACTAGCTATGGTACAAATGGTATAAATTCATTGCCAAAGAAAGCTTTCTCTTGAAAGAAAAGATATTTAACTAACGGTAAATTTAAGTGATTTAGTTGATATCAAAATACCGGCAGACCGGTTAAAGCAAGAACCGCAGCAATATTTCGCGCCCTGCGTCTGGATAATGCAACTCTGTCAATCTGAAAGATCACAGCTTGTTAAAAATAGCTTCAAGCCCATGAAAATCATTGCATATAAGACTCAAGAGCAACGCAACTGAATGTAAATTAATGAGTGGACTGCCAGTTTTCTGAGTGTTAGTTGTGTTCATCATCGTCTTCTCTCTGATTACAAAGTTATCTTCTACTCTGCTTGAAGAAACCTCAGCGAATTGGTAAAATCCCAGACGTTTTGCTCATCTTGAATTGTGACACATACTTGCTTTCATGGAGTATTTAATGAGCTTATCCGCTTGGAATATTCAAATTTGTATCAAACCCAACAGAATATGCCAAGACATGACGTTCTGTGACTCTGTCAAATTGTGACTCTGTCTTTGCTACCTGCAAATAAATGCTGAAAATTACATCGAAACAAGTGACTCCAAACAGTTTCTTCTGAATAATTGTACAATGAAAGGTACAACAGATATTTCAATCATCTGTTCTTATTTCTTCAAGAAGAAGTTCGTCTCTTTATCTGCTACTCCAAACCCAAATCATGTTCTGTTTCCTCAATTACAGATCTTCGCCAGTTTCGTTGCTACTTCTGATTTCAATCTTTGGGCTTAGCCGCTCCCATCATTTCGAACCAAGATATAGGTTCCACATCTGTTCAGCGCCAAGTAATATCACAACCAACTCTAATCTGGGTTCAGATCTCATTGGCATACTGGGTTCTTTATCCGAAGCTTCCTCCGACAGCTTCTACAATAGAACTTTCAATGGAATGTACGGCCTCGTACTCTGTCGTGGAGATATTCCCAACGATTACTGTCACAGTTGTGTCAGTACCGCAAGCAGAGATGTAAGGGATCGATGCCCTTTAAGAGTAAACGCCACAATATGGTACGATGAGTGCATGCTTAGATACTCAGACAAGAACTTCTTGGGAACCGTAGAGATCTCCCCGAGATTCCTCATGGGCGATTCAGGGAACCAGACATCGCCAGATGATAGTAATATTGATGGGTCTGCTCTGTTGTCTCAGATGGCCAGTGAAGCCTCAGTGTTACCGATGATGTACAAGGCAAACAAGTTGCATGGGACTGGCTATGGATTGGTTCAGTGCACAAGGGATCTCAACAGTAGCGCGTGTTGTAAATGTTTGATGGCTCTGTTGGAGGAGATCGGGCAGGTTTACAAAGGGAGAGTGGGGTGGAGAATTTTGAGCCCAAGTTGTAGCATAACGTATGAGAAATATCTTTTCTATTCTCTATCAGCTTCGCCTCAAGGTGATTCAAATCTTATAATTTTTTTGTTTCGTTGTTTGCTAAATTCTTCTACATCTTATAATTTTATACTAAATCAAGCAGGATTGAGCGCCAAAGTGATTGCAGTAATCATTATATCAACAGTTGCAGCAGTAGCATTTCTTGCAAGTCTGTTGTATTGTTTACTTCTGTCAAAGAAGAGAAGACAACGTAAGAAAATCAAAGATTTTACGTTTAGATTGCACTTATAAAGCTTTGATTCAAATAAAATATTATGATATCAAATTCATAGATCCAGAGATGGACACAGGTGAACAAGTTCTGTTGCGAAATTTGGGAGATGCTAAGTCTGCAGAATTGATGAAGCAAAATTTGCATTCAAGAGATGGAGACAATGATGAAGAGATGCATTACTTCAGTTTCATCACCCTACAGGCTGCCACAAACAACTTTGCAGATGCAAATAGACTTGGAGAAGGCGGGTTTGGCCCAGTTTTCAAGGTTAACTATTGAATCCTAAGATTAAATATGTCGAAATGGTTTAACGATACTAATATGAGCTTAAGAAGTGGCATGATGTACATATAACAAAGAACAATTATCTGATCCTTTGTTCATAACTACTGTGAGATCCTACATCGGTTGGAGAGGAGAATAAAACATTCCTTATAAGAGTGTGGAAACCTCTCGCTAACATGACAATATCTGGAGTGGGCTTGGGCTGTTACAACTGCAAGTTATCCCTGTGCTATTTGCTGCTTTCTTTCTGTTTCCTAAGTTTTCAATTCATCCAGGGAAAGCTGATGAATGGGGAAGAAATAGCTGTAAAAAGACTGTCAGTGAAGTCAAGCCAAGGTCACGATGAGTTCAAGAATGAAGTCATGGTCATAATGAAGCTTCAACATAAAAATCTGGTCAAGCTTTTGGGATGCTGTCTGGAGGGAGAGGAAAAGCTCCTTGTCTATGAGTACATGGCAAACACTAGTCTAGATGCCTTATTATTTGGTCAGTTTACTTTCCATTCTTCATATATATGCTTTTTGCTCCATTGGAGTCAAACACAAAGGTTCATTATCAGGAAAGTTCATCTCCTATTCTTCATTCTGCAATGCAGATCCAGTTAAATGCAAACAACTCGATTGGCTTAAGCGCAACAACATCATCAATGGAGTTGCAAAAGGAATTCTATATCTGCACGAAGACTCTCGGCTAAAAATCGTTCATCGGGATTTAAAAGCTAGCAATGTGTTGTTGGATGATGAGATGAATGCAAAGATATCAGACTTTGGAACGGCCAGAATATTCGGAGGCAAGCAAGTTGAGGCTAGCACCAACAGGGTTGTTGGCACTTTGTAAGTCATTAAGCATAGAACAATATCAATATGTATCAGCATTTTGTGAGTAATTGCATCTAATCTTGTCATTCTAATCACTTCTACAGTGGATACATGGCACCAGAATACGCAATGGAGGGAGTGTTTTCTGTAAAATCGGATGTTTATAGTTTTGGGATCTTAATGCTAGAAGTGATAAGCGGGAGAAAGAACAGCGGTTTCTTCAAAGTAGACAATGCACAAAGCCTTCTATCACAGGTAAAGATTCTTGGCAAATTCTTAGGTTTTGTTTTTGTGTGGGCAAGATTTTTACAATACACATGAATTGAACAAAATCAGGCATGGCAACTATGGAAGGAAGGCAGAGAAGAGGAAATGGTTGATCCGAACCTGGTTGGAGATTGTTCTTTAAGCGAAGCTCTAAGATGGATCCAAATCGGGCTCCTGTGCGTACAAGAAGACCCTAACATCAGACCGACCATGTCAATGGTCGTTCTAATGCTTGGAAGCAAATCGATTCCTCTTCCTCAACCGTCGAAACCTCCATTCTTTCCGATTGGCTTTCCGGCGTCCGCCGGTCAATCTTCAACGACCTTACTGGGAACGGGGTATCTCTCCACACAATCGTCTACCACGGCTTCTATCTAGTTATACGATTGAGTGGGTCCATGTAGCTCAGAAACTTGCCCATCGTCTTCTTCCTTGCGCAAGTCCACGGTCTTCTGGGATCTGGACCGTATTAAACACAAGTCGTGACGTATTGAGTTAGAGAGCCCATTTCCTGGTCTGTTGACTCAGTCATGATCTTCAACTGTTCAACCACGCTAGGGAAATTGTTTGCTACGGCAATTATTTTACTTTTAAAATGACCTTTTTGGTCGTAAATTTACTTCCTCCTATCGTGTCCAATTTTAATTGGTCTTTAATTTCTCATTACTTACTCCCATCTCACCGGCATTACAGTGGATCAACATATACATATATAAATTAAACAAAAAGACATAAAAAATATTTACGTCGTTCAATACATGCATAGGAAATGCATGTGTTAGACGAACACAACTCTCCACAATGGTATGATATTGTCCATTTTGAGCCTAAGTTCTCCTAGCTTTACTTTGGATTTCTCTAAAAGACCTCATAACAATAGAGAGTATTCTTAAATTATTCGATGTGGAACTTTCATCATCCAACAACATGAACACGATAAGAGCCTACAAGTAAGTAGCTTCTTGAGTATAATTTTTATATTCATCCTTCATATATTTTCCTTTTCAGGTGTGTGATGCTACGAGACGAGAGAGGGCATGTTTGAGAGACATGGAATGTCACAAAGGAAAGAATATCTCGAGACGTCAATTCGGTTTTTTTTTTTTTTTTTTTGATTCATTGTATTGAAATTCTCTCCTATTGAAATAAATGATTTTCATTTTTTTGTCTTTTCAAATATTTATTGCGTGCACACTACGTTCCCGTCCTTTTGAGTCATAATTTATTGTAAAATTTGAGTTAGGGTTAGGTTAATAATACTTTTCCTCTATAAACATTCCTATAAATAACCATTTAAATTTTATATTATTAAGTTTAGAATAATTTCTAACTTAACACATTGCAAAGTTTTGATGTGATACTCCAAAACTCTAATGGTTAAGTCGTTCCAAAACTCTAATGGTTAAGTCGTGCTTAGCTATTTAATGTCTTAAGATTTTCTCATTAATTGGAATCAAGACAATTATTAAGACAAGACTTTGTAAACTCTTTGAAGGAAGCAACTAACATAGGTGGGTGATGATAATCTAACGAGGATGGAACTCCGTAATTGAAATGTCATTCCTCGAAAGTTGAACGGACACGCATTCGCAACTAGTTACATTAATGTTGAATTCATTGGTGGCACTATCCACAAAGAATGCTGGTTGAGAAGGTATCGGGAGAGTGAGAGAAGAACTACCTAGCATCATAACCACTGATCCAATTGTTGGCCGATTGCTTACATTTTCTTGAACGCATAATAGTCCAATGTGAATGCATCTTATCATCTCAATCTTTGAACCAACTCTAATGGTTGAATCTATGATATTTGTTGCTGTTCCTGCTCTCCAGTTTGTCCATACCTATAAGAAAATCCACAATGTTCACCTGATATTAGCACTTGGAGAACATACACTATCGATAGCTGCTTGAAGCATTCTCATGCACGGAGATTTAAAATCATATACTTACAAAGCTGGTGAGATCTTCGAAATATTCTCCCTCTTTTAAATAATTGTTCTTCTTACCACTCAAAATCTCAAGAACTAAAATACCAAAACTGAAGACATCAGATTTTACTGAGAATTGTCCATGCATTACATACTCGGGAGCCATATAGCCACTGCAACAAAAAAAAAAAAAAAAACACAATAAATTACTTTTTTTTAAATGCATTGTAAGAGGATGATTGTTGCAGTAATGATACTCACTATGTTCCCACAATTCTACTTGTATTGCCGTGAGTCTCATCAACTTGGAACAATCTTGCCATACCAAAATCAGCAATTTTTGGATTCATTTTTTCGTCCAACAAAATATTACTAGCTTTGAGATCACGGTGTATGATTCGAAAGCGAGAATCTTCATGAAGGTAAAGAAGTCCTCGTGCAACACCATTTATGATTTTGAATCGTCTTTCCCAATCTAAAAACGTCCTTTTTCCAAAGTCTAGATAGTCATAGATTGTGTCAATAATATGAACAGATGACTTTTTCAAATGTGATGCACAAAGTGAATGGAAGAAGAAAAAGGTAGAAAATGAGTATACCAAATATGAACTGATCAAGGCTGGCATTTGGAACAAACTCATATATGAGAAGTCTTTCAGTTCTTTGCAAGCAAAATCCCAGCAGCCTAACCAAGTTCCGATGTTGAAGCTTAACCACCAAAAGGACTTCATTTTTGAACTCAACATCTCCTTGTTGTGAATTATTTGCAAGTCTCTTCACTGCTATACGTTGTCCATTGGTTAGCTTACCCTTGTAAACAGCTCCGAATCCACCCTGTCCGAGCTTGTTTTCACTTGAGAAATCGTTTGTTGCAACTTTAATGGTCTCAAAATCAAATTGAATCGTCTCCACATTGCTAATTTCGTCGGTGGTGTCTCCAATATGAATACCTGAACGTAGATTAGGAAATGAACCTCAATTCTCAAGAACTACACGATCAATAAAAAAACACTGCCCATCTAAGAAAACAGAGGATTCATTAACCACTCACCTTCCAATTTGTCGGCTGTTCTTTTGATCTTCCGCTTCCTCAACCTCAAAATGATGAAAATGGCAACAACGAGAACGATGGCTGAAACGATGGACACCACAACGATAACAATAGTTCTACTAGAATTTCCTACAAAAGAAATTTAGATCGGAGGCTAGGTTAGCGTTTATCTAACGAGTTTCCACAAACCCATCTGCTAATACGTAGTTGTGATTTCGTTGACTGTAAATTCAGGAAGAACCCACCAAAAAGAAAAGGTTTTTGAGCATGTGAACAACGATACCTGGCGTTGGAGGCGGTGGAGGTGACATGGGTGGGGAAGGAGCAGAACCAGCAGGGGGCGGCGGCGGCGGTGGGGGCAGAGTGTTGTAGAAAAGATCATTAGTCTCGTATCTCAAAAAACAGCTGGTCGAAAATATCCTCGTTCCCATACTTCCATTTGGAACTCTTTGAGCCGCCTTCATAAGACAATTATTGCAATCCACAGAGGACAAATCGGGAGTACATTGAAGAAACCCAAATATGGTGTCCAAATTGGTGGCTGCAATTTCCCCCACAGCGAATTTGTGTCTAGAATCCCCAGCCGCAGCCCGGTTTCTGAGTGTTTGTAACAAGCGGCTTAGTGCTAGATTGTAGCCACCAATGTCTGATGCTTTCCGACCCCAAATAAAAACTGGGTCGAGCACTTTATCATTCCGGATGCCAAATATGGATGTATTTGAGTAACGAATCATGCAAACGGTGTACCATCCGACAGCCTCCTTCTGGTTTGGACAATCCTGTAGAATCCTCCGAGTCGAATTTAGGAGACAGCTCCTGCATTTTTCCACCGACAGATCAGCGAGGCAAAGGGCAATAGCGTTCACCCTGTCGGGTTGCTGTCCGGCTGAGAAATTATAAAACCCATAATCTATTTGGGTGTTGGAGGCGATGGAGGAAAGAAGGGTATCGAGATTTTGCCTGTAAATGCTGTTGGTGGTGTAGTTGCCGGTGTTTGAACATGAGTGGGCCTTGATTTCTATTTGAGAAATGGTGATAGAAGCCATGAACATGAGAATGAAGGAGAGGAACAAAAGGGGTTTGAAATTGCCCATCTCTAATTTGATTTTCCTTCTCTCAAAATGCATTCCATTTTTAACGTAAAGTTGCTGAACTTTCTGAGTGGTGTAAACGTTGGTAAAGTCAGTCTTCACCCACACAGCCGCAGGAGATGTCTTTTTCTATTTTCTAAATGATTAAATTGACCATGAAAAAAGAATTTAACCTAACTCCAAAATTCTCTATTTATAATCGGACCAAAATTAAATAAATTATAAACTAATAAATGAATACAAGATATTTAGTTATAATAAAAGACTAAATATCCTCAATATTTGCATGAAATATGATATATATGATAAACCATAAATTCGAGCTAAATATTCTCGAGAGTTACTCTCATTTATTGGAATCAAGACAAATTATAAACACGAGACTTTGAGCTATTGCACGGAAATAAATGTTGAACATAACTCTATGTGGGAAACACTGGCACAATTTATTGATAAGAGATTTACAAAACACTCGGTAGAAACTACTACTCGGGATTTCTTGGGAGGATGAAGTGAGTAAGGTGAGAGTCGATCTATTCCTAAAATTTGTGAACTTTTTCTAAAATACCTAATTATTTTCCTAAATTTATTCCTAAAATTCTAAATTATTTTCCTAAATATAGTCACTCATGTTATTTTCTTAACATAGATATAGTCACTTATACAATGGTTGGGCTACCTGATGATATTTTAACAATAAATTAGTAGTGTTTTGTGTAAACTCTTTGAAGGAAGTGAACAATATAGGTGGGCGATGATGATCTAACGAGGATGGAGCTCAGTAATTGAAATTTCATTTCTCGAAAGTTGAACGGATGCGGATTCACTGCCAGTTCCATTGGTGTCGGATTCATTGGTGGCACTATGCAGGAAGAATGCTGGTTGAGAGGGTACTGGGAGAGTGAGAGAAGAACTACCTAGCATCATAACCACTGATCCCATTGTTGGTCGATTGCTTACATTTTCTTGAACACATAATAGTCCAATGTGAATGCATCTTATCATCTCAATCCTTGAACCAACGCTAAGGGTTGAATCTATGATATTTGTAGTTGTTCCTGCCCTCCAGTTTGTCCATACCTGTAAGAAAATTCATATACGGTTGTTAGCTGCTTGAAGCATTTTCATGCACGGAGGAGATTTAAAATCATATACTTACAAAGCTTGTGAGATCTTCGAAATGCTCTCCCTCGTGAAAATAATTATTCTTCTTACCGCTCAAAATCTCAAGAACTAAAACACCAAAACTGAAGACATCAGATTTTACAGAGAACTGTCCATGTATTACATACTCCGGAGCCATATAACCACTGCAAAAAAAAAAATAATAATAATAATAACACAATAAATTAGATTGACAATATTAAAAGGTTAGAACTTGGACTTACTAAGTTCCCACAATTCTGCTTGTATTGACATGAGTTTCATCAACTTCGAACAATCTTGCCATACCAAAATCAGCGATCTTTGGATTCATTTCCTCGTTCAACAAAAATATTACTAGCTTTGAGATCACGATGTATGATTCGATGACGAGAATCTTCATGGAGGTAAAGAAGTGCTCGTGCAATGCCGTTTATGATTCTGTATCGTCTTTCCCAATCCAACAGTGTCCGCTTTCCCAAATCTACGTGTAAATAATTATAAGGATGGTACTTTCCAAACAAGAGTAGGACCAAAGACAAAAAAAAGGAAACAATGTCACACCAAATATGAAGTTGTCAAGGCTGCCATTAGGGACAAACTCATATATAAGAAGCCTTTCGCTCCCTTGCAAACAGAACCCAAGTAGCCTAACCAAGTTCCGATGTTGAAGCTTGACCACCAAAAGGACTTCATTTTTGAATTCAGCATCCCCCTGTTGTGAATTACGTGCAAGCCTCTTCACTGCTACATGCTGTCCGTTTGGCAGCTTACCCTGATCATATCAGCAGCTAAGTTTCTAGTTTGAGTATCACTTTACACCTTATGATTCGCCCAAATTCATTTCATACCTTATAAACAGCCCCAAATCCACCCTGTCCCAGCTTGTTTTCACTTGCGAACTCATTCGTTGCATCTTTAATGCTTCCAAAATCAAATTGAATCATCTCCACAATGCTCATTTCATCAGTAGTGTCTCCAAAAGATGCACCTAAGCATAGATTATTAGCACATCAACACGAACATAAACAAAAAGCTTCACAATCGAAGCATCTAAACAGAGGATCCATACCTCCAAAATTGTCTAATTGTCTTCTGTTCTTTCTCTTTCTCAATCTGAAAATGATGAAAATGGTAACCATTAGAGTGATAGCAGAAACGATGGCCACCCCAATGGTTACAACAGTTCTACCATTATTGCCATGATTTCCTGACGAACAAAGAAAAAGACCAAAAAGCTTAATAATATGGTATAAGCTTTTGGATTAAATAATGACGTCAATTTGTTTTCCCACAAATGATACCGTGTTTTCGAGGCGGAGATGGCGGTGGCAGAGGCGGAGGAGGCGGAGACAAAAGAGAGATATAGATGGGGTGGATTTCAAAATTGAGTTGACAGCTAGTGGCAAGTAATCTGGCACCTAAGCTGTGTTGAGATATGATTCAAAATGAAGATATGATTCAAAATGAAGATATGATTCAAATATTCAAACTATGAGATTTTTAGGAGATTGTTAGTAGATTTAAATTCTTTCTAGATTTCGATGATTTACTATTTCTGGTCCAGTGTATAAGCTATAAATACTGGAATTGTGTAAGCCTCTATGCATCAAGTCAGTAGACAATAATAAAGCATCGCAGCATTCATCTATTCTTATCTCTTTCACTATCCCTCTTTCCAACAATTTTGGTATCAGAGCCAAGTTCGTTCGACACGAGGGCGAGTGATTATTTTCTTTCACAAAACAAAAATGGCAGTAGCTGGTTTTTCTTCCTCTGCACCGTTGTTACCAATCTTTAATGGTGAGAAATATGAGTGGTGGAGCATCAAGATGAAGACCTTGCTCAGATCGCAGGAGCTATGGGACTTGGTGGAGCACGGGTTTGCTGATGTATTAGAACCCACAATAGAAGAAAAGGAGAGACTAAGAGAAACCAAGAAAAACGATGCCAAGGCTCTATTCATTATTCAGCAAGCAGTTCATGAGACTATTTTTTCACGAATTGCAGCAGCAACCACATCAAAGCAGGCATGGTCAATTCTACAGAAGGAGTTTCTAGGAGACTCAAAGGTCATGACAGTGAAATTGCAATCTCTAAGACGTGATTTTGAAACTCTACTCATGACGAATGGCGAATCAATTGCTGATTTTTTGTCAAGATCAATGGCAATAGTCAGTCAGATGCGTACCTATGGAGNTGGAGAAGTGATGGACAGAGACAATTCAATGAACAAAGGAATGTCATACAATGTTACTATTGCAAAAGGTATGGGCACACAAAATCTAATTGTTGGTATAAAAATCAACGAATGAATTTTGCAGCAGAGAATGAAGAAGAAGAAGAAAAGCTGCTTATGGCGTGCATGGATACTAATCCAAGAAAAGGTGACTTATGATTTGTTGATAGCGGATGCTCGAACCATATGACAGGCATCAAATCCTTATTCAAAGAGCTGGATGAGACGCAAAAAATTAAGGTGCAACTTGGAAACACAAAAGAGATGCAAGTTGAGGGAAAAGGTACGGTGAAAGTCGAAACCAGTCATGGTAAGATAAAACAATTAGATAATGTTCAATTTGTACCTGATTTAGGGTATAACTTATTGAGTGTTGGACAATTGATGACTAGAGGACATTCAGTTCTATTTGATGACAACACATGTGTCATTACACATAAAAAATCAGGTCATAAAGTTCAAATTGCCATGACTTCAAATAAGATGTTTCCACTTGATATTTCTAACATTGAGGATTTTGCTCTTGCGGCTAGCACGAAAGATGACTCAACATTATGGCATCTCAGATATGGACATCTTCATATGAACGGCCTGAAAATACTCAGGAATAAAGGTATGGTTTTCGGATTACCAAGAATTGACTCAACTAATTTATGTGAAGGATGCATTTATGGCAAGCAGACTAGGAAGTTCTTTCCGGTTGGAAAAGCTAGAAGAGCTTCACACTGTCTAGAACTAATTCATGCTGATTTATGTGGGCCAATGCAAACGAATTCCTTGGGTGGGAGTATATATTTTTTACTATTCATTGATGATTATAGTCGTATGAGCTGGGTCTACTTCCTACAACATAAGTCAGAAACTTTTCAGAAGTTCCAGGTGTTTAAAGCTATGGTAGAGAACCAAAGTGGCTGTCACATTAAAGTTCTTCGAACAGACAGAGGTGGCGAGTTCATATCTAAAGAGTTCAATCTGTTCTGTGAAGAAGAGGGCATCCAAAGGGAATTAACAGCTCCCTACACTCCAGAACAAAATGGAATCGCTGAACGGAAAAATCGAACTATTGTGGAGATGGCAAGAAGTATGTTACAAGCAAGGAGACTTCCAGACCAATTTTGGGCAGAAGCCGTAGCAACATCTGTTTATCTATTAAACATCTCACCAACAAAGGCGGTTATGAATCGAACTCCCTATGAAGCATGGCATAGAAGGAAACCATCTGTAAGTCATTTACGAATCTTTGGTTGTGTTGCTTATGCTTTGAAACATCCTCAAGTTCGTCAAAAGCTTGATGAAAAATCTGAAAAATGCATTTTCATTGGCTATTGTACTCAATCAAAGGCATATAAATTATACAACCCCATCAGTGAAAAGATTTTAGTTAGAAGGGATGTAATATTTAATGAAAATGTGAGTTGGGATTGGAGTAAAGAACAGGAGCAGCAAAAGATTACAGTTGAAGTTTCCCCAAATGAAGAAACAAGGGTCAACTCCAGTGCATCTCCTAGTGTCTCCACTGCAACACAAAATGTGTCAAATTCATCATCTTCAGCATCACTAAACAGTGATTCTTCTCTTGAAGAACTTTCAGATGAGACACCTCCAAAGAAGTATAAATCTTTAACTGACATATATGCATCATGTCAATTTGCTCTTACTGTTTCAGATCCTATGTGTTATGACGAAGCAGCTGAAAAAGAAGAGTGGAAGAAAGCCATGGTAGAAGAGATGCAGTCCATTGAGAAAAATGGAACATGGGAGATGGTTGACTTACCAAACGGAAAAAATGCAATCAATTTGAAATGGGTGTTCAAGACAAAATTTGCACCAGATGGAAGCATACAAAAGCATAAGGCCCGTCTTGTAGCAAAAGGGTATGCACAACAACAAGGTATAGATTTTGAAGAAACTTTTTCTCCAGTAGCTCGTTTTGAAACTGTAAGAACTATTCTAGCATTAGCAGCAGAATTGCGGTGGCCAGTTTATCAGTTTGATGTTAAGTCAGCATTTCTTAACGGAGATTTACAAGAAGAGGTTTATGTAGCACAACCAGAAGGATTCATAAAGAAGGACAAAGAAACAAAGGTATACAAGTTGAGAAAGGCACTATACGGATTAAAGCAGGCCCCTCGAGCTTGGTACAGCAAGATTGATGGGTATTTTCAAAAGAAAGGATACATGAGAAGTGAGAATGAGCCTACTTTATATGTGAAGAAGGAAGGTAAAAGTGATTTCATCATTATTTGCCTCTATGTTGACGATATTATTTACACTAGCTCTTCTAACTCTCTTTTGGATAAATTTAAGTCTCAAATGATGAGTGAATTTGAGATGTCAGATATGGGTCTATTGCACTATTTTCTTGGTCTTGAAGTATATCAAGTTGAAGATGGAATTTTTATTTCACAAAGAAAATATGCCAAAGATATTATGAGTAAATTTGGTATGCTTAATTGTAAGCCTGCAGCTACACCTATGAATATTAATGAGAAATTACAACATGATGATGGAGCAGAAATGACAGATGCTAGAAGGTTCAGGAGCTTGGTTGGCGGACTGATTTACTTAACTCACACACGACCCGACATTGCATTTCCTGTTGGTATTATTTCTAAGTTTATGCAACATCCTTCAAAGGTTCATTATGGAGCAGCAAAAAGAGTCTTACGTTACATTGCCGGAACTATGGAGTATGGAATTTGGTATTCTAAATCCTCTAATTTCAAACTATATGGATTCACTGATAGTGATTGGGCAGGATCATTAGATGATAGACGAAGCATTTCAGCCAATGTTTTCACTTTAGGGTCAGGAGCGATCACTTGGAGCTCAAAGAAACAAGCAACAGTGGCGCTGTCAACATCAGAAGCAGAATATGTTGCAGCAACTTCAGCAGCGTGTCAAGCCATTTGGCTAAGAAGAATGTTAGCTGACCTTCAACAAGAGCAAAAAGGGACAACAAAGATATTTTGTGATAATAAAGCAACTATTTCTATGACAAAGAACCCAGCGTTTCACAGTAGAACAAAACATATTGAACTTCGACATCACTATATTCGTGATCTTGTTGCAGACGAAGAAATTGTCTTGGAATATTGTAACACCGATGAACAGCTAGCAGACATACTTACCAAGGCTTTGTCAAAAGAAAAGTTTTGCTACTTCAGACGATTACTTGGCATTTGCAACTTTGAATCAAGGGGGAGTGTTGAGATATGATTCAAAATGAAGATATGATTCAAAATGAAGATATGATTCAAATATTCAAACTATGAGATTTTTAGGAGATTGTTAGTAGATTTAAATTCTTTCTAGATTTCGATGATTTACTATTTCTGGTCCAGTGTATAAGCTATAAATACTGGAATTGTGTAAGCCTCTATGCATCAAGTCGGTAGACAATAATAAAGCATCGCAGCATTCATCTATTCTTATCTCTTTCACTATCCCTCTTTCCAACAAGCTGCCATTGCAACAACTAAAAAAAGATGCTTGAAGCTGATCGAGACAGTTAAAACAGTTCAAATAAGACAAATCCGGGAAACAATCGACCAAGCCATATATGGTAGACGTGCTGGGAAATGGAACCCTCTGGTCGCCCCCAGCAGACTTGTGAATAGAACTCCCCGACGCAGCCGCCCTCTGCAGCCGATCAAACAAACTCCTGAGTGCCTCATTGAACCCATCTGGGTCTTCCGCTCTTTGAGTGTTCCAAAACAACATCTTCACGTTGCTGTCTCCAACGCCATAAATAGCGTTATTCGAGTAACGAATTTGACAATCCTGGTACCATCCCTCTGCCTCTTTCTGATTTGGGCAACTTTCAGAAATCCTACGCGTTGAGTTCTTCACACAGCTCCGACATTGCTCCAACGCAACACCACCACGACAAAGAGCCAAACCGGTAGCTCTGTCGGGATCCTCACCGGAGGTAGCGTTGTAGAAACCATAATCCACTTGAGTATTGGAGGAAATAGACGCAAGTACGGCGTCCAGATTTCTCTTGAAAAGGCTGTCGGCGGTGTAGTTGCCTTTGTCTGAACAAGTGTGGAACAAAAATTCCGGCTGAGAAATTGTCGGAAACACGAAGGAGATGAACAAAATCGTTTTGAAATTGAAGATGAAGATGCCCATCTCTAGTTTCATCATCCTCCTGCTCTGAAAATCAATTCCATTTTTAAATTTAATAAACATGAAACTATAATATATAAATATAAATATATATATCCGGACGCTGTTAATTATATAACATTTTAATCGTAATTCATAGGGAACATTATATAATTCATAAAATGTCAACATCCCCAATATCTTGTAGATTATGATCATATAATTCCTTAAACTTTAGTGGGGTTCAATGATTTAGAAGCAGAGTGGACCCACCATTCATTATATATTTGACATTTATTAGAAAAGTCATAATCGTAAATTAATTAATTAAAGTAAGTTAATAATTTGTGTGGTTGAATTTGTAATTTAATGATATTATTGAGAGTTAACTACGGATTAAGTTAACTTATTTAAAGTTAAGAGTCTAAAAAATATTATGTATCA